ATTTAGCTCTTTAATCCACTTTGAGTTTATTTTTGTAGATGGTGTTAGAGAATGTTCTAATTTCAATCTTTTACAGGTAGCTGTCCAGTTTTCCCAGCACCACTTGTTGAAGAGTCTTGTATTTTCTCCATTGTATATTCTTTGTGATAGATTAATTGACCATAAGTGTGTGGGTTTATTTCTGGATTTTCTATCCTGTTCCATTGATCTGTGTGTCTTATCTTTGTGCCAATACCATGCCGTTTTGATTACTGTACCTCAGTAGTATTGTCTGAATTCTGGGAGGGTTATTCCTCCAGCTTTGTTCTTTTTCTTCAGTATTGTTTTGGCAATGCTGGGTCTTTTGTGATTCCATATACATTTTAGGGTTGTTTGTTTTAGTTCTCTGAAAAATGTCCTGGGTAATTTGATAGGGATTGCATTAAATCTGTAGGTTGCCTTGGGCAGTATGGCCATTTTAACAATGTTGATTCTTCCAACCCAAAAGCATGGAATGTCTTTCCATTTATTTAAGTCATCATTTATTTCCTTAATCAATGTTTTGTAGTTCTCCATGTACAAGTCTTTCACCTCGTTGGTCAGATATATTCCTAAGAATTTTATTGTTATGGGTGTGATTTTACCTCTTCCCATTTGGATCCCTTTTATTTCTTTTTCTGGCCTGATTGCTGTGGCTAGGACTACCATGGCTATGCTGACTAGAAGTGGTGAGAGTGGGCATACTTGTCTTGTTCCAGATTTCAGTTTTTCACTGTTGAAGAAATAAACCCACAGATCTTTGGTCAATTAATCTTCAACAAAGGAGGCAATGGTATATGATGGAGAAAACTGGACAGCAGCATGTAAATCAATGAAGCTAGAACATTCCATCACACCATACACACACACACAAAAACCCTCGAAATGGCTTAAAGACATATTTAAGACAACACTATAAACATCCTAGAAGAAAACAGGCAAAACATTCTCTGACAGAAATCTTAGCAATTTTCTCCTAGGGCAGTATACCCAGGCAATAGAAATAAGAGCAAAAATAAACAAATGGGGCCTAATTAAACTTACAAGCTTTTGCACAGCAAAGGAAACCATAAGCAAGACAAAAACAATAACCTCCTAAATGGGAGGAAATACTTGCAAAAAACAAGACTCACAAGGGATTAATTTCCAGAATATATAAACAGCTCATACAACTTAATAACAAAAAAAACAACCAATCCAATCCAAAAATGAGCAGAAGACTTAAACAAGCAATTCTCCAATGAAGACATATGAATGGCCAATAGGCACATGGAAAAATGCTCGATATAGCTAATTATCAGAGAAATGCAAATCAAAACTAGAATGAGGTATCTCCTCACACCAGTCAGAATGGCCATCATTAAAATGTCCATGAATGATAAATGCTGGAGAGGGTGTGGAGAAAAGGGAACCCTCATACACTGCTTGTGAGAATATAGTTTCATGTAGCCATTATGGAAAACAGTATGGAGATTCCTTAAAAGACTAAAAATAGACTTACCATATGATCCAGCAGCCCTACTCCTTGACATGTATACTGAGTGAACTCTAATTCAAAAAGATACATACACCCCAATGTTTAGCCTAGACATGGGAACAACGTAAATGTCTATTGACAGATGACAGGATAAAGAAGTTTTGGTATATTTATACAATGGAATACTACTCAGCCATAAAAAAGAATGAAATAATGCCATTTGCAGCAACATGGATGGACCTGGAGAATGTCATTCTAAGTGAAGTAAGCCAGAAAAAGAAAAAAATATATACACTTATCACTCATGTGTGGAATATAGGGGGAAAAAAAAGTAAGAAGAGGACACTAATGAATTCATTTACAAAACAATCTTATGATTACCAGGGAAAGTGGGTGGGAAGGGATACATTTGGGAGTTTGAGATTTACAAATGTTAGCCACTATATATATAGATATAAAACAAAATTAATAAACATGTACGGGCTAACAGAGCTGCTTTAATGTACAAGGAGCAAAAAAATGACAGAATTAAAAGGGAAATAGGAAAATCCACTATAATGATTGGAGATGTTAGCAACTATGGTAGATAGAAGTCTAGAAGGTTTCCAAGATTTCTGTCCCCTGGTTAACCAATCAAGCAGTAATCTATGTGCTGCTATGAAGTGTTTGCAGATGTAATTAAAGTTACTAATCAGCTATCTGTAAAATAGGGAGATTATCCTAGATTATTCAGTTGGGCCCAATACAATCACATGTGAACTTAAAAGCAGAAGGGAGGGCAAAAAAATCAGAGATATATGTTAGAAAAGGAAGACAGAGAAAAGATGAGGTAGAAGGGGAGGTCAAAGTGATCTGAAGCATAGAAAGGGTTCTAAATGTCATTTCTTGTTTTCAAGATGGAGGAGGGAGAAGCAAATCAAAGATGGCTGACCACAACCTCTGAATGACAGCCAGTAAGGCGATGGAAGTTCTCAGTCCCACAACAGGATGGAGTGAATTCCTCCAACCACCTGGATGAGCTTGGTAGTGAATTCATTCCCAGAGCATCCAGACAGGAGCACAGCCCTGCAGACGTATTGCTTTGGCCTTGTGAAACCCAGAGCAGAGAACAGCTGAGCCATACTGTGCCTGAACAGCCATGCTGTCCTTCAGAACTGTGAGATGATAAATGGGTTGTTTTAAGCCACTAAATTTGTGATTTTTCACAGAAGTAATAGAAAACATTATACATTCTATCTAAGCAAATGATAGAGCAACTAGGAAAAAGATTTGGTACAGGAATACAAGGTCTGAAAGATACTAACAACCACCTTGACCTAACATATTTATAGAACAGTTCATCCAAAAGGACAGAGCATACTGTAGCCCCCCAAAACACAAGATTAAAATCTTGAAAAGATTAAAATCATACAGAATGTGTTCTGAATACAATTGAATTAAATTAGTAATCAATAGCAATGAGACAATTATGAAGATCCTGATTACCTGAAATTAAAAATACACCTTTAGCTATTCCATGGGTCAAAGAGGAAATCACAAGAAAATCAGAAACATTTTTATGATAAAAATATAGTAATGCTTAAGGGAAACTTTATAATATTAAATGTGTATAGTAGAAAAGAAGAAAGATCTTTAAGTCAACAATCTTATGATACGACTTCACACCTCAGGAAATAAGAGACCAAATTAAACACAAAGTAAGTAGTAGAAAGAAGGTAGTAAAGACTTGTAATAAATAGAAGTTAGAAAAAGGAAAAGGCAATGAAATAATATTATATTTGAAAAGATCATTAAAATTCATTAACCTCTAACTAGACTGATAAAAAACAACAGCTAAGATATAAATCACCAATATCAAGAATAGAAAAGAATATCATAACTTCATAATAATATAACTTAGACAAACTAATTATTGAAAGACACACATTAGCAAAACTAATATAAGAGATACAAAATAGAAATCTGAATATATCAGATTTATACAATCTAAATGAAGTAAATTTATAGTTAAAATGTCTCTTAAAACAAGCTAAAATAAAAAGAAAACCATAGGCCCAAAATGGTTTCACTGGTCAATTCAATCAAAACTTTAAAGAAAAAATAACTCCAGTCTCAAAAACTCTTTGGAAAATAGACTTGAAAGGAACATCTCCTAACTCATTTTGTTAGGCTGGTATTATTTGGATACCAAAATCACATAAAGGCATTAAAAGAAAAGAAAACTAAAGTCCTGGATGAGAGGAAATCAAGATAGTGGCATAGGAAGACCCTGAGTTCACCTCTTCATGGACACACAAAAGTTACAACTACATATAGAACTCTCTGAGGACAACTTTAAAAGTCTGGCAGAACAGCTCTTCCACAAATAAGAATATATATATATTTTTAAAAAGCACATTGAGATGGGTTGGAGGGGCAGAGATGTGATCTAGTCAGGACCCACATCCCTGGTGGGTGATGCAAAAGTGCTAGGGAATATCAGAAATACAAGGAGTTGGGGGTTCGAGCCCCACATTGGGCACTGCAGCCTTGGGGACAGGCATCGGGAAGGTGATGGTTTTGAAAACCAGTGGGGCTTATCACTGGAGATCTGTAGTGCTGTGGGAAACTTGAGACTCTACTCTTAAAAAGTGCACACACATACACTCTGAGTCCCAGTGCAGAGGCAACAGATTGAAAAGTAAAAGTGTCTGGCATTCTAGCTGACCTGCCAAGCTCAGGTTCCAAGGTGACAGTCCTTATTACACCCCAGGAGTGGCCGCAGCTCCTGCTAGGCTCCGGTTACAGCCCCACCTATCTATCTGGTGGCTGTCAGTATGTCCTGCGAGAAGCCGAAGCTCACAATGGGCTCCAGCTACTTCCTACCCTGCCAAGGCAGTGACCACCTCCTCCTGCCACCACCTGCAGTCCCCAGCAAAAGCCCTGGCCCATCCCACTTCAGATCCAGTCCTCCCACCAAAGTCACTGGACATAAGCAGTCTGTATAGGGACACTCCTGCAGAAGGACATGCCTTCCAGACTGGGAGACATAACTATTTCACTTAATTCATAGAGCCAAACTCAGAACTTGAACAGAATGAGAAGACAGAGGAGTAAATTCCAAATGAAAGTACAAGATTAAAACCCTTATGAAATGAAGATAATTTACCTGATAAAGAGTTTGAAGCAATTGGCATACAAATGATAAAAATGCTCATTGGACTTGGGAAAAAAAAAAAGAAACACAGTGAATATTTCAACAAAAACTTAGAAAATGTAAGAAGAACCAGAGCTGAAGAATAGAATAACTGAAATAAAAATACACTAGAGGGACTCAACAGCATATTAGATTTTACAGACTGTCAATCAGGGAAATGCAAATCAAAATCACAGTGATCTACCACTTCATACCCATCAGAATAGCTATCATCAAAAAGACAAGAAATAGCAAATGTTGGCAGGCTATGGAGAAAAGGGAACACTTGTGCCCTGTTATTGAAATGTAAATTTGTACAGTCACTATGGAAAACAGTATGGTGGCTTTTAATAAAATTAAAAACAGAACTACAATATGATCCAACAATTCCATTCCTGTGTAATTATCAGAAAAAAACAAAAACACTAATTAGAAAAGATATATGCACCCCTATGTTTATCGCAGCATGATTTACAATAGCCAAGATATGGAAGCAACCTAAGTGTCCACAGAGAGATGAATGGGTAAAGATGTGGGATGGATTTATATAGATCGATCGATCGGTCTGTCTCTCTGTCTGTCTATGTATCTATCTAATGAAACATTACTCAGCCATAAAAATAATGAAATCTTGCCATTTGCAACGTTGATGGATCTAGACCATATTATGATGAGTGAAATAAAATAGATTTCACAAGTGAAAAGATACTTGTCTTTAACAAACAAAACAAATAAATACAGCAAAACAGAAACAGAGTCATAAGTACAGACAGAAACTAGTGGTTGTCAAGAGGGAGGGGATTAGGATGGGTGAAATAGGTGAAGGGGATTAAGAGATACAAACTACTAATTATAAAATAAATATCACAAGGATGTAATTAATGTACAGCACAGGGAATATAGTCAATAATGTTGCAAGAACTTTTTATGATATGTAATCTATAAAAATATTGAACTACTATGTTGTACACTTGAAACTATTATAATGTATGCCAACTATAATTTAAAAACTAAATCCTTGAGAACTTAATTTTAAAACATCTGTAAAAAATGTTAACAAATCAATTTCAGTAATTACATGAAAGGATAATGATCTTGATCAAACGTGTTCTACCTCAGACATTCAAAAACATTCTATTAGCATTAAGAAATAATAACTTGTATTTAGCCATATTAATAAAGTGAGCATCTGAATAGATGCCAAAAAGCACTGACATAATTCAAAGTCCACTTATGAAAAACATCTCTCAGAAAACTAGGAATAAAGAGAACTTAACAGATAAATTGTATCTACACAAATGAAAAGTATATAATTATCCCTTGTACTTGAGTAGTTAAAATCTGAATGCTGAAAGTAAGAGGGGAAAAATATATGAATGTTTTCTCTCTCCACCTTTGTTCATCATTTAACTGTAGTTCTCGGCCTGTGCAATAAGGCAAGTTTAAAAAGACAAGTGATACAGGATGAGGCCAAGATGGCATAGTAGTAGGACGCAGGTAGCTCTCACCCTCTCCCACAGATACACCAGGACTCACATCCGCAGACCCACTCAGCCAACCAGAGGACCTGCGGAACTCCGACGGAACACTGTCCTCTTCAAAAGACAAAGGCACCAAAAATCTGGTTGGACAAAGGACAAAAAGAGAGACAAAAATGCAAAACAATGCGGGACCAGTCCCACAGGGAGGGAGCGACAAAGGAGGACTGGCGCTCGTTCGCTGGGTCTCCCTCTCTCGGATGGAGAAGGAGCCTCCGAGACTCGGATCTGTACAGAGCAGCCCTTGTCCTACAGAACTAAGTTAACCGGGCACAGAGGGTCCCTGCCACACCCAAGACCCGAGCCGGGAGCTGGGGGCCGGACAGGCTGCCCGAACCGGGCGGAGGACGGGAGGGCTGCACTGAGGCGGCCCCGGGGGACTGCAGGGAGCTGTGGGTCAGGGGATGCACAGGACAGAACAACCTGGGCCCTCCGTAAAACAGCACGGCTGATGTGCCCTGGGGGGAAGGGTGCATACCCCCATCTCTGAAAACCCACGGAATGTTTTCAGTGAGGAGAGGCGGGGCTCAGGCACAGTGGCCATATCCTCCGGCGCTTGGCACCCAGGTGGGGTTGGGGGCAAAACCTAAATCCACACCTGGGGGCTCGGCAGCCTCAAAGGCCAGTGACTTGTTTGCAGCCCGTCTGAAAGGATCCTTCCGCTGTAGTGCCTAGCAAAGTTCCTGTCTCCAGAACAAACAAGGAGCTGAGCTTGGGCACGGAGCAGGGACGGGGCTGTTCCGCGGTCTTCCCGGGGCCCGCCTGCGGAGCGCTGACCCAGGGGCAGAGTGCGCGGTGGCGCGGAGCCGCGGAGCGACTGGCGCCAGGAGAGAGCAGGTGGCCCCCGCCTTTCCAGCAGGAATGCTGTGCTGGGAGGGGGCGCGATCTGCCTGCCGACAGGCAGTGGGAGCAGCACCGACGAGGGGCGCTGACAGAGGGCCTCTGGAAACAGCAAGCTGAGTTTGCGAAACAGGGCGAAGGCATTAAGAGTACACAGTCTCCAGGAGAACACCCCCTCCTCCCCCTCCCCTTTTTAAACTGTTTTTACCTGTTGTATTTTCTATTACTTTTTAAATTTTGAAACAATTATATATCCCCCCAGTTTTAATCCCTTTAAAATTTTTCTTTCAAAATATTATTTTAAACAATCCACATCATGTCATTTTTATCTCTCTTGGTTTTGATCTCCTGATACTGATTATACACAGGTGTCAAATATGTTTTTTTTCCTCTTTTCTCCTTTTTCAAAGGTTTTTTAAGAGACGTGTCAACCCAATTGCTTTCTGCTTCAACTTGCTCTTCAATTATTCATTA